TCGTTGTCAGTGCTTAACACTCGTCTCGTAATCGTTGCCCCTGGCCTACGGAGCCTGGCACACCTTCTGGGCTTCAGAATCCAAGCTTGGGCCCGTGGTACAGTACGGTGGACGTCGACTTCTCTTGATTGGATGCCAGTGGGTAATTATAGAAATAAGTTGCGTTAAGTAGAAGCATAACCGATAAGGATAGGTTTAAGCAGTTTTGGGGGATTACGACTTACAAGCGCCTGTGAGCAACCAACTGGTGGCCCGGTGGTCCTGAAGCTTGATTCTAGCCTAGCCTCTATAGGGCAAGGGTTTGGAGGGTTTGGGTACGGTTTGGGATTCAACCGATGGAGGGAGAGGGGGGCGGAGGCGGTATGATTTTTTGGTCGCTCGCGTATCGGGTTCTGGGCCAGGGCGGATCATCGTTTTGTTGTCGTTTGCGTGTCGGGTCAGGGGGCGGATCATCGTTTCCGTTTGCACCGAGTTCTGGGGCTGTGGAGGGGTGGTGTATCACTTGTTCATAATTTTTGCAGAGGTCACGGGGGCTTGGGAAATCCTGCGTTGGGGGGGAGTGGGGGAGGGGGGGCTGGAAATCTGTCATCGTGTTTTCATCATCTTCACATCATCTGTTCATCATGTTTTCATGTTTTTGTTTTTATAGTTTTACTTAAAGGTTGTTCATCGTTTCTGCTTCATGTTTCAGTAGTTTTGCATCGTTTTTATAGTGATGCTATCGTGCTTGCATCTTCTGTTATCGTTGTTTCATCATTTTTCATTCTTTGTGTATCGTTTGTTTTGTGATTCTGAGCATGCCGCGGTTAGGGGGCGTCGTTTTTTCATCGTTCTGGGCACAGACCCGGGAGCTACAGCTACACGCAGTGGATGGGCAGTAATCTCCGGATTAGTTGACTGCAACGAAATGAGAATCAACTAGCCGAGTCTAGCAGCTCTCATTCATGACTTCTTGTGGCCTTTGACATCGATCGAAAGAGACGGTTGCTCGAGCCGATATCGAAGCGAATCTGTTCTTATGCGGCTTTGGGCCGGGAAGCTGCCACCTGAGGCTGAAGCCCGGCGGGGGGGCCTGTGGGCCCAAACCGGAAATAGATGAAGACGACCCGGAACCCGGCTTCGGACACCATGAAAAACCCACAGACAAAAGATGATTGAATGATGACCACCGACCCTACCCAAATGATGAATAAATGATCAATGAACTTATACTTATGCACCCCGTGCATACAGGAAAAACTCTTAAGTATAGGATTTAGAGGTGGAGGACTTAGGGTCTAGAGATTCGGGGTTTACGGTTTGCTGTAGGAATGCAGCAGAGACTCTCTACACCACATCCTAAAACTCTGCACCGCTTCCCCAAACCAGACCCAGACATCGTCGGCCCATTTACCAAAGCCTAGCGGGTCGTCTTAACTTTCGGCTTTTCGTTTCAGGCTTCTTATCAGGGGTAATATCGGGGTCGGAACGGGTATACATTGTTCCTTGGCCTCCTTCTTGTATTTACATAGGTATTGAAGTCCCTGTAGCTTTCGCCGACGACTACGCTGGCCCCATGCCCCGCCCAACTTGCATCTTGACCCTCAACCCTAAACCCTAAATCCTAAACCTTAAACCGTTTAAACCCATAAACCTTAAATCCTGAAGCCTAAACAAGCATCCGCTTCAGGATTTAGGGTTTAGGGTTATGGTGTTTCGTTCTGGGGCTTAGCCCGAACATAAGCACTGCGCGGCTCTTTAGCCGATCTTTAGACGCTTAGGGCCTACAGGGCTCGGATGGCCAATGTTGCCCTGGAATCCGCGCAGTGAGAGCTCAAAGCATCTCCAGCCTCATCGGCTAGTGTGGCCTCGAGTCAGTTCGGCAAAAACTCGTGTGTTCTAGCATTCGGCGACTCGGCGATGGCACTCTCCGCACCCCTGCAAAAACGCTGGGCATTCCGCTGAAAGGATTGGCAGCAAAACCTGGACAACGTGTGAAGAGAGGGCGGCGAGATTTCAACGTCGTTCGATGAGAGCAGAACCCTGCTGGACAGACTCAAGAAGCCTTTGTCTGAGCTGCAAACGGCGGCGGCGCCCTCTCGGAAAGCAGTGGCGGCATGATCCCGCTGACCGACCTGCGGAGGAACTTCAAGAGCCATTCCTGCTGTGGTCTTCGCTGTAGCCACAAACCTGCCTGGATGTTCCACAGCGCATAGGCAGCCTCTCGGGCAGCTCCCTGTCAGGACTGGGGGCGCGAGTTGCTTGCCAGTTTTCAGCTTATTTTGTTGAGGATACCTTGAAGCTGTCTCACACTCGAGTGACTTTCCAGCTTGGCCGTCAGAAATTGTGTGCATTTCCATGAGGTGAATGACTTGCACCATCCTGCACCTTTGGTTTCTCGAAGGTTTGTCGTCCTTGTGCCATACAATGTAATGCATCGATGCTTGCCACGTCTGTTTGTTTGTTTTTCTTTTTCTCAATGCTTCTGTTCCCGGGCTGCGGGCTGCTAGATCCGCTGGCTCTGGTTCTAAAGTTCGGATGCTTTCAGCTTCTCGCAACTCGGCACCTATCGAGCTGCTGCGAGGAACTTCGGGGAAGGGGAGAACGACAACGTGCGAGAAAAGGTGGACGGGACCTCTGGATAGCTGGGGCATGTAAAGCTGTTTCGATGCACTTTGCAAACCTAGTCCGCGCTCAGTGTCTAATCCGTGTAAGGGTCTACCTGTCAAATCTTTTAGGAATAATCGATGCCTCGGCACGCCGCCCAAGCAGACGAACAAGTGACCTGCCATCTACAAGAGGCCGGCGAGTGCAACGCCCTTAGTATCAGTTTTTGTTGCAGCCACAGCATAGGTGGACGATGACTACACATAGCTTAAGAGCCGCTCTGCCTGATTGCTCCAGCTCTGCCGGCACGTGCCTCGAGCCGTAGACAGGTCGGTTGCCGGACATGCATGATGACGATGGACGATGAAGATGACAATGACAATACTATGACGATAAGGCCGTTGACGATGATGAAGATGATGGTGATGGTGATGGTGATGATGATGATGATGATGATGATGATGATGGTGATGGTGATGGTGATGATGATGATGATGATGATGAGGATGACGATGACGATGAGGATGACGATGATGATGACGATCACAATGGTGATGATGGTGATGAAGATGATGATGCCGATGACAACGATGATGATGATGATGGGTGATGTCGGAGGAGGAGGAGGAGGAGGAGGAGGAGCGTGTTGGTCGTGCTGCTGCTCCCATAAAGGGTGAAGTGGTTTCAACCAACGCTTGCCCGAGCTCAGCCATGCCTGTACCACCGGGTGCCGATAGCAAATGCAGCCGAGCCTCCGAGAGGGAGAGAGGCACAAAGCGGTTTCGGGCGACGGATTGAAACATCTTGAGACTCACGACTCAAGTCTTGGCTTCACGGTGGTCCTACATCAGCTTCGAGCCTATGCTATTGTCACTATTTCCTGGAGAAAGTCAACATTGCCAGGGTCGGAAAGGATGCTTCATAAACCAGAACGGCGTGGTTGAACAGGACCCCATTGTCGTTCACACTTTTTGTTCGGCTGCTGGCTGATTTTAGCCAAGCCTGAGCCCACAAGACTCAATAATGGGCCGTAGAGGACCCACACCCAGAGCAGTGCCGAGCAGGCTTGAGCGGTGGGGCCGAGCTCTAGAAGTTCAGATGCTCTACGCTGCGAGAGTTCTCGAGAATCCGCATCTGCCAGCTGAACTCTTGGGCTGTTGACTGCCGCGAGAGCTGCTCTGCAGACCGGACCAATGTGCCTGCATAAGCACACCGTTCAAGTCAGAAGGGGTGTTCTTAGCTCTCTCGTTTTTTCCGTGCCTCGAGCATTGAGGAGCTGGTGGTCGAAGGAGCGCCGGTCGAGTTCCTCCAGGTCCCGCTGTTGCCGGACGCAGACCGCGGTAATCACGATGGAGCCCACGTAAGCCGTGTGCAGGGCATCGGTCAGAGGCATCTGCAAAACGAAAACGATCCAGAGAATGAAGACCGCACCGTTCACGAAGCAGAATAGGAGTGTGTCCACGGTCTGCATTTGTTGCATGAAAACCATGGAGATGTTCGTCATCCCTAGGCCGATAACGGAACTGAATGCCTCGACTTGCACCGCCTGCAGCTGCGTGGATCCGTCCGTGGCAAGGGAAACGAGCAATGGCTGGCAGATAACACATCGGCCGAAGAAAAACGCACAAAGGAGAACATTGTGCCACACCCGCCAGGCACCCGGCGCAGAAGGCGAGGCGAACATCAGCAATTTTCGGATTATCAGACCAGCACCGAAGGCGGTGTAGAAAAGAAGCACTAACAGAACTCGATAAGGAGGGTTCATGGCGATGTCCCAGCAAAGCATCAACAGTGTGGCCAGTGCAGACCAATCCATGCAAACCCAGGAACGTCGTGTGTAGTGCCACTGGAAGAGGCTCTCCACTGTCGGATCACTGAACGGGCTGTCAGAAGGAAATGAAAGGAACAGCATCACTTCGATATCTACCTTAAGCTGCTTCAGGCCTTCACGCAGGTGCTGGCGCAGCGCCTGCGATGGGAAGCCCGCCCTGCGCTTCGGAGGGCCCTCTTGACCTTCGCCTCCGCTCTTCGGGCTTCCGTTCCCGTTCCTTCTTGACACCGGAGGCGTCTCACCTGTGCCTGGTGGGGGTTGGGGATCGGCCGTGGGCTCTAAGGGCTCTGAGGGAGGCTCTTCAGGCTCCCTGCGGCTCTCTCTGTGCCCCTCAGCGACTGCCGAGTCTTCCGACGCCTCACCAACCTGTAAGGAGGCCCCCGCTGAACCCTCCTTCGATAGCAGTCGATGGAGCAAGGAGCCCAGGGCCGTCTCCCGAAACCACGTCTGCAGCTCCTTCAGACACTGAGAAAAACTGATGAGTCTACTGATCATGCCGCTGGAGATCGTGTGGTTTCGTTGCTGTCCTGCATGCAGCGCGTGACGCACCCAGGGCCAGCTGCAGGCGGCCTCTGCGCATGAGAGTTGGCAATGCGCCGCAGGAGGTCCAACACAAGGAGGTTCGGGTCGAAGCGATCCACCATGGCCGAACACCGTGGCCAGGAAGAAATCTTCCGTGTACTTGGTGCAATGCTCTTCGGGCGACTGTGGTAGGAGTCAGCGTGGGTTGTTGGGAATAGTGATGAGGCACTTGCCGTGCCGTGCTCGTTTGAGCCGATTGTCAAGCTGCTCGCAGGTAGTCATGAATGCACACAAGGGAAGACTCTGCGGAGGGTCAACCTGGGTCCGTGAGTCTTCCTGGCCGAGAGAGCTGCTTCCAGGAGAGGTTCTTTGAGCCCTACTACTAATATCATCGGTGCAAGGACAGCGCAGATCCCGGCCGCTGCTGGGCCCCCGTGCGCTTCGGCGGCGAGGCTTGCTTTGCGGATGTCCGGCGATGTGATCGCATCCACCTTTTTCGGCCACTCTGGGAGGGGAAAAGCTACTGGCAGTTGCGAACGACGCTTGGGACTTAGGCTTGGACCAACGGCTGGAGCCCGTCTGCAGTCATCAGCGACTCGGCCACAGTCTTGTGCTGTGCTCCTGGTTCGGAGAGAAGACCGGTGTCAAACGCAACGAAAGTCCCGCCGGCCTCCAGCAGCCATTTCCATGGACCTGCATTCGACCTACTCTACAAAGCCTTGCGCTGACTGGGATCAGTTGGACAGCCACCTGACCTGCGCGCGACCTGCGCCAAGAGTGCCAAGGCGGCAGTAGCACCACGCCGCAATGGCTGTACCAGCGCACCAGACAGGCCTGGAAAGACTTTTTGGGCTTCGGCTCTCTGTTGGACTAACTTGGTTTCGCTCTGACACTGCTCAGTTGAACAGTGCCTGTGGTGATCAACCGGATGCATGAGTCATCGTCCTGGGCAGTGGCTGCGTTTCTCCACAGCGGATCCGGCACCTTTGCCACAGTTCAGGCTAGTCCTCAGCTCTTTCGGCGGCTTCGGCGATGGCAGGCAGGTCGCATTCCCTGCGGCCCGGCTGCAGTGAAGGAAAAGGGCTCAGTCCACACTCGGCCTGATTCGCTTCAGGATGGTCCGGGACTCCTCTGCGGGACACGCAATGTGTCAGCTTCGCGGTTTTGCGAATCGTTTCAGAGCTATGTTGAAGATCCAAAGTTCTCGACTTCATGTTATGGGCATGGGAAACTTGCTGAGATTCGGCTTAGATACATGACTGCAAGCAACCGCTGACAGCTGACACCCAGGGAACATCAAGCATGTCCAGTGGTGGAATGGCTCGGTGCTCAGTTTGCATCGCGACTCCGACGCCCCACTGTGCAGATTAAGGAGCGAGAAGTCGGCTTTAGCGACTTGCTCCTCGAGTAGCTCCAAGCGTTGGAAGATTGCATCTTGTTTGGACTCTGTGTACCCGTGCGTTCTCCTCGAAATCACGGCCTCCAGCAATGTAGTAGCGCGATTCACATGCGCGTCGAGGTGCTTCTCCATGGTTGTAACTCGGTTCGAAGGGAGTCCATATCTTCTCGGACCTGGGCTGCGATCTCATCGCGGTTCTCACGCAGCGCTTCCCTTAGAAGTGGCAAGGGCTGGTCCTCGGGATCGTCCCCCTGATTGGGCATTGTTCTCCCCGCAGATTGGTGCTGGCTTCACTCTGCATCGGTGAGGGAGATCTCCCTGCCGAGGCAATTTTGCACAGGTAAACGAAAGCATCTGGGCCCCGCCCAGGTGTAAAACTGGTCGAACTGCTTCGTGGGCTAAGCCTCGCCTCGCCTCTAGTGTCGCGGAAGCTGCTGCAAAGGAGAGCTTCGAGGAAGTCCGGAAGGTGCTGCGCAAGGCCAACGTTGAACTTTGGACTCGACTACGTCCCCCGGAGATGATGACGGCTTGAGCCAAAATGACTTGAGCCAAAATGAGTAAAGCTCTCTCTCTCTCTCTCTATCTCTTTGTCTCTCTCACTCTCTTCTTCTCCTACCGGGCACAAGACACTCACTCTCCCAGTCTCTCGCGCGCTCTGTATTTTTATCGTTCGTTTCCTTGTTCTGTTGCTCTGTCTCTTCCTCTGTCTTTGGAGTTCCCCTGAACTAGGCTTTCCCCGTTTCCACTGGAATTTAATTTCAAACCTTCGTTTCTATTTCTATTTATCCTTCTCTTTCCCTTTCTCGTCTGCTGCCTTACTGCTATCATGATGATGTTGTCGGTGATACTGATGAACACCTAAACCGTTCACAAAAAGAAAAGTAACGGCGACCCCAATGTCTAAACCCAGGATCAGAACCACCCTGATCGTAAAGCTACAAAAGGCTGAATTGTCTCGCGGCTACGTGTCCGATTCTGGTTGCAAAGCGGTAATCCTGGTTGCAAAGCAGGGTACACGCCCCACGGTGGGCCGAAAATAAGGATGCGCCGCGTGAAGCCCGATCCGAAAACCCTGATCAAATCCTCCGCAGAGAGAGGTGGAGTCTTTGCTGCCCTCTCCACCTCACCATGGCTCTGCAGAGGGTGGGGACGATCACAGAGCAGCACTGGGCAGGTCTGAGGAATTGCACTAGCAATCATTAGCATCTTGTGCCTGAATAACCCCCTGTAGTAACACTGTCTAGCTGCTGGCTCCGACATGTCCAATCTTGACTGCAACCACAAACAAGTGCTGGAAGATGTGCCAGTCCGCCTGCTCCGCCTCCATTTTCAGAGGCATAGGCACCGGGAGTGCAGCAGTGGCTTCTTCCGCCGAGGATCGGACAACCTCTAATCAGGGCGAAACTGCATGTAACATGCAAGAAAGCTTTTCCACTGTTCAGAGACGCTACGCCAAGCTCGCCTCGTGCAGAGCCCGATCTGCTTGGAAAGATGAGGCTTCTTCTGGTTTCCCGCAGACCTGCAGCCATGCACGTCACAATCCTGACCCGCTTTGATGGGCTAACCTCGACGGAACCCCAAACTCTCGGCCTTGCCTCAGTTTCCAGCTCTGCCTCGACACCTTCCGAGACCTGGCGTTGAAAGGCATAAAACCCGTCGCACTTCTGACGTTTCACGCGTCACCGGAGACAGGACAGGTCCATGCCCTGTCGAGACTGCAACAGCGACTCGACAAGACGGGCTTGTCTAACAGCAGCAGCAGCAGCAGCAGCAGCACCAGCTGCAGTAACAAAAGCAGATGTGCCAGTGGTAGTAGTCGTCGTCGTCTTCGTAGTCGTAGCCGTAGCTAGTCGTCGCCGCCGCAGCCGGAGCATAGCTAGCATGAACCACACCATCTCACTCGAATCAGCCTTTATGTGAAGTTTTATCGCAACCCCTACAACAACCCAACGGAAATCTGACCGAGAGTCAGGATCTTACCGAACCCATCATAAGCAAGCCTGACCCGAACCTAGCCGGTCGAGGTCCTAGGCTTACGAAACGTCATCTAATCCCAATGCTAGCCTTTTACCCCAAGTCTCCAAGCCCAGAAAATGCTCCACACCCGAGACGGGTTTGTTGGATTTCAAATGCGTAAACCCCGAGCCCCCAAGAGGAGGTCGGAGAACTGTCACCGCCGAAAGCCCGAAAAGTGATGTGGGGTGGGAACGCCAAACCCTAACAACACAAAGACGTTGGACGATCCACCCTAAAACCTTAACGGAAAGTAGTAGTAGCATTAGTAGTAGTGGTGGCCAGTAGCAGCAGGAGCGACAGCAGGAGCGGCAGTAGTGGCAGTAGTAGCAGTAGGAGTAGGAGCAGGAGTAG